AATGGTACTTCTCGGGAACGATGCTTTCAGTGGCTTCTGACATATCTCCTTTTCACAGATGAAATTCAGGTCTACAGTGAAATTACCAACAATGGTGCAGAGCAAGGGATATATACATATACGCACTTATTAAATTATCTGGGACACCTAACAATAAAATATGCTTTAAATGACTCACTATATGCATGTAACCTACTGTCCTTGTCACTAGAACTTCTTATTTGTTCAAGAGTTCCCAAATCTTGGAATTCTTTCAGGACTTTGGTACTCTGATAGCTCTATTTTTAACTACTTCCTGTTGCCTACAGTTCCACTGAATCAATGGCACAAGAACTAATCTTCTTGATTATGCTTTCGGAATGAGACTCCAAGTTAGCAAAGGAGATGGCAATAAAGAAGAGTACAGCAATATTTCCTCCCCAAGGAACGTGCAGGAAAAACACCCGGCACTGGGGGACTGGGACAGAAATCGTGTGCTGCAAAACACGGCGAGTCTCGCCAGGACCAAGGACACACAGCGAAGGTGTTGGGACTGGAGCAAGAGCCACATAAAAGTGTTCCGTTCCTCTTGTTTCTGCATTCTAAGATACAAATATATATAGTTCATCATGTAAACAAGTAAATGAGAACTCAGAAGACACTTTTTTTTCCCTGCCCCCTCAAGGAGTGCTTGTAAATGAACTAGCAAGGCTTCAAAATCTGTGTTACTCTACTTTGCTACTTGTTTCTGTAACAATACCCTTCCTTTAACCATGTATCAAATAATCCTTTAAAAACGTTGCCATGAATCAGTCAATGCAGTGATAAATCTGAATCATATAAAGAGAAAGCCAGCCTATGTCACCAGCATTAATCTTATGTTTTTAGTGGGAGGACCTCATGCCATTTCTTCTAACTTGCACTTTCTGACTACCAGATTATCCTGAAGGGCTTCAACATACTTTAAGGCTCTATTTCTTCCTGCACAATTTTTCTAAATAGCTTGTGACAAAATAGACAACTCAGGTAAAAAATTCATGACTGTAGAGAAGCTACAAATATTTAACTTCCACAACTCTATATGCAAGAGCAAACACAAGATCATTAATGCCTTAACGAGCTGTGCTGTTTGTTGTGACCTATGCAGGGCCATCAAGAGATGATGGGCAATCAGGATGTATCCAGTGCCTGAATGCCAACAAAACAGAAAACTTCTCTGAGGGATTACAGCCCTCCCTTTCCAGGAAGAAAAGTCTTCCCTTTGAAACGGCTGGAACAACACATTCACTCTTCCAGTCCTTTGTTCTTGCTCCAGAAGGTATTATGAGAAAAGAGTTTATTTGCACTTAGAACATAGCAAGGAAGCATCTTTGACTTCTGTGCGTTTTGGAAATCAAAATAACAAATTCAATATGGTAAATAAGGACCACTGGAAAAAACGCACACTTGTGGCTGGATTTATTGATGACTTTGTTAAACTTCAAAGCACACAAATGCCTCAGGTGATTTCTCTTCCACTAGTTACACATACACAGAGCTGTTAATTGCATAAGGAATTCTTGATAATAGTATCGGATTCTTCACACTTGGAACACAATTATTTTGCCAGTTTCAAACTAATTCTACATTTCTGATTGAAGGCTCTGCACTGGAAGCCTTCTGGACTGATTGGGTATTCTCTGCTTCTTTTCAAATTTTGTTATATTTTGACAAGAGACAGACCACAAACAGTTTTTGAAATAGAGCTGAACAGGTTTTTAGACATGACAGGAAAGTAAAGGAACGAAACACTCAAGGAAATGTAACTTCCAAGTAACGTAGACAGTCAAAGTTAGTCACATGCTTAAATGTTTTGATGGGTCAGATACAGAGTTCACACTTTTTAACAGAGTAAACTTCATTGATAAGAGTGCAAATTAATGTAAAATTACTACAGCAATTTCTTTGCTGCAAAATAAACATGTGTAATTTTGATTTTGGTCCAACAAGGGCAGGTTGCCTCACGCTGGATATCAGCAACTGCTTTACAAACCCAGAGAGAAGTTACTGTGCCTGCCCTGGAAATGGGCTTGCTCTAAGACGTCTTGGAAAACCACCTCTACTCACCAGTGCCTTTTAGCACGGCAGTTCCCTGACACATTTTCATGAAGGCCTGTGACAAAAACTCTCTGTTTGGGTGCATCAGGAGAATTAGGAGAAACGCTGAAGCCCTCTGAGCTAGACTGGCCTGCCTGCGACGATGATGTTACCCAGCTCAGACAGGGGCCAGCTGGATCCCTGCAATAGGCAAACCTCAAGAGAAGTCAAACAAATGCTCAGGGTTTGGTCTTGGAGCCGAGGATACGTCAAATGACTCTGACATACAGACAGCCCTCTCAGTCCGGATGTCAGCGTCAGTCAGCTCAATGGATTGTGAAGGGCACATGTTTTCAAAGCCATTTGGGAGACCCGTATTCCTACTGAGACTAAAACAAGAGGCAGAGGTTCCTCTTTTCCTTGATACTACTGGAAATCTAGGTCTGGTTATTAATTTTAGTCTCTACACAGAACACCAAAAGGAATCGCTTAGTACGAGCTTAAAATGAACAATTCTGTGTTACTGGAATCACTGAAATCCTTTTGTAATTTACTTTATTTAAAAGTACTCGTTATAGTAGCTACGATTAAAGATACTTTATGAAACGCACCCTCTTTTATAAGAGCTATATAGCGTACTCTGTATAGGTTTCAAAGCACTGAAATTCATCCAGAAAATAATAGGGCAATCAGAAACATGACTGCCTTTCCCTTGCTGTCATACTTTTCGTCCTCCCATACTGTTGCAAGAAAGGAGAAGAGAAGGAGGCAGCTACGTATCAGTGATTTGGTCATGGAAGAGAGCAGCTGAACATGATTCAGTTTGACAAGAGGCACTGTGATTTGGCTAAACCATTTCTCAGGGCACTTTGTAAGGAGGATCAGCAGCATTATTCCTTTAATAGCCATGTCTAATGCAATAGCCAGCTGGGTTTTGTCCCAGACCAAGGTATCAGCATCAGGTCAGAAGGTAACATTCTGTTTACACGATTATTTCCTAAAGCACTTATCTTCTCCTCGGTGTGAAAGTTGACTTTTCTGTTTGTAAGGAGGCCTAAAGAATTGAGGGAATGGGAAAAATTAGCTACACTGAGCTGGAGCTGAATGGCATTAAGTGGGAGGTCTGAGAAAGGCTGCTGTGGCACTCAGCAGGACACCTTATTAGCCGCGTCATCGCAGTTCATTCAGGCAAGCCATACCAGTGTCACCAGCATTCCCACACAAAGACAAAGTTCTTCACACAGTCTATAAACATGCCTCCCTGGCCAATTCATCCTAACTTGACATCGCTCAAAAGAGGGGCTTGAGGGTGGTGGTTTTTTTTTTTTTTTAAACACAACAATAACATAACAAAACAAAACAAAAAACTTGCGGTTCTGCCAAGCAGGCTGAATGGAGGAGAAGGAGAGACACTGTCACATTTCTTGGGAAGAAACAATCCAGAGGTCAAGCCATATTTTATTCGGTAAGCAAATTTTTATAATAACTAAATTTGTTTAAGCTAAATACTAGCTAATATGAACACTTCTATATTTCTCGTACACCTTTGGGGTAAGGTGTTATCTTTCCACAAGCTCTTTATTTTCACACATTATCTATGCAAAGGAATTAAAGGCACAAAAGCCGTTTTTACTGAGAAAATGTGACTGCCTATATAAAATGTCCTTGCCTAAGAAAAGGAATACAAAAATCGCAACTAACGAGCCAGAGAAGAGGACAGCTCGGTCTCAGTGCAGCAATCATTTCCCAGGTTGACCTTCTCATCTCGTGTGTTGTTGACCAAAGCAGAGCTTTGAACCAAAGGTTCCGTTTTGATCTGACTCTACAAAAGCGCCGCTGGCCCACGTCCGCGCGCGGGGTGGTAAAATCCTTTTACATTCCAGCTGATCAGTGAAGTGTTTGGGAATCACTGGGGAGGCTGAGCCGGTGGGGCCGTGTGCCCCAGATCCCCCTGGCCATGTCCACTGGCAGGAGTCACTGCGGTGCAGGAGCTTGGGTCACCGAAAGGCTATCGGTGTGGTGACATCACTGCCCGGTGTCCCGCGGCCCCACGCCCAGTGAGCTCCTACGGTGTGGTCGCAATTCGCAAAGGGCATGCTCAGTTAATGTCTCCTTGACAAGATACGATCTTACCCCAAAGGGGAACGTTTAGAAAGGTGTAAAAAAACAAAAAGTGACTTGGCCATCCCGTCAGTGGGAACCAAGAGCCAGTGTGGAGGCAGCAGGTGACCTAGGGGTAAGAATGCACTTTCTTTTCCATAGATCTGTAACATCAGAGGTAATAACAACTCCTGCAGTGACTTCTGGTGGAAAGTCAAGGAACGACGACAGCAAAACCTGTCTTCTGCCATAGCCATGTTAAGGAACTGAAGATCAAGAGAATGGAAACGTCAGGTTTTGGCTTACACAAAACCAGACACAGGATTGTTGTGTGGTCTTTCAGATTTCTGCCGTTCCTATCCTTGTTACTTTTTCCCTTGCAAGTTTTAGTCGAAGAGATCAGCTTGCACACCTGCACCTCAAGAACTGGTCGGCAGGGGATTCACCTCCAGCAGAGGTGTTAGAGAAAGCTTTGAAACAGAACCCCATTATCTCTTCTACACATTGCCTCCCTTCTGCAGCATGGCATCAGGCCGCTGCAAACCACACAGCCACTCATGCACCCTCCTCCCTCCTGGGAGTGGGGAGAATTGGAGAGATAAGGGTAAAGAGACTCAAAGGTTGAGATAAAAACAATTTAATAATTGAAATAAAATGAAATAATGATGATAACACTAAAATAATAATAGTAACAACAGAATATACAAATGAGTGATCCCAAGGGCAAGTGCTCACCACTCACCGACCAAGACCCAGCTCTTTCCAGACTACTGACCCCAGAGAAGGAGAGAGATCCTGAAACTGCAATCCTGGAAAAGCAAAAAGCCCTGCTTTTCGGCCAAGCCTCATTTATATACCGAACATGATATGATATGGAATATCCCATCAGCCAACCCTGAGTCCATCACTCTCACCATTCTCCTATCCAGTTTACGCAAGTCCTTCTAGCTAATCCCATGCCAGCCAAACATGAGAAGTTGAAAAGCCCTTGATTTCTTATCAACAACTAAAAACATCGGTCTGCCATCAGTATTCTTCTCATACCAAATTCTGTACTAAATCCAAAACACAGTGCTATGCTAGCTACTAAGAAGAAAACGAGCTCTATCCCAGTCGAAACCAGGGCACACAGTCAACACTCTGTTCACACCATTTTCCATTCTCAGATATACATTTAGAGACAAATTCCAGAAAAAAACCCCACCAATCCGGAATAAAAGTTACCTGGTGGCTGTCTAAGTGTGCCTCAGAAGATGAGATGTCAGTGCCTTCATTGGCATGCCTAAGGTGTTGTAGCACTGTCATTAAAAAGATAAGTTTACCATATTTTTGTGCCTTGTTCTTTCTGATATAATAGCTAAAACCTATTAATAACCCCAAAACATCTCAAAAGGTCAAGCAGCATACAGCAAGATGAAGGGAATTGTCAAGAAGCTTAGGCAATCATCTTAGCACTCAAGACATTTGCCAGGGCTGTTTAACTAATACGTGATGTTCACTTTTAATTTCAATATAGTGCCATTTGGGCAAAAATGTTGTATTATTTAATTAATTACAATGTCAGCAGCTATTAAGATTAAAAGAAAGACCACATCAATAATAAATACTTAATCCAAAGAAAGGATTACAAGAAGAGCAATAAAAATCAATTTTTAGAGCTGGAAAACTGTGACTTTTTCCTCACTTGACTGGTATTTTCATTATATTGACAAAACCATGATCTTACCTGACACTGACATTCGCCTAATGAAATAGCAGCCATGTATAATGATGTAAGTACTTGTCAACTTTGCTACAGGAGAATACAAGGCTATGGCACTTGTGCTATGTTCCAAAGAAATTTTCTTGCTCTTCATTTGATGTAAGAGAAAACAACAAGAAGAAACCAGAGAAATGGCACATCTTTTTGAATCTTCCTTTACTTTACCATGGAAGATTAAAATTCTTCCGCGTAACTTCTGAAACTCCTCAACATTGGTAACACTTGGCCAAAAGCAGGCAGCAGATAACTGCCTTGTCTTAACTTGTATGAAGACTGAGATGTTGTAGTTCTTGCTGACTTTCTGCAGGGCTTGGATGTGGTGAAGCAAAGCAAAAATCCTTTGTTCACTTAACGTTAGAAGTGCAAACAGCAAGTCAGAAAGTAACCAGGACTCGTGGCAACATGATACTGCTCCATTAACTCATTAAGGCTGGGAAAAGTACTTTTTGTGACTAATCCAGAAAAATTCCGGTCAGAGGCGCTGTGCGTCCTGAACAGCTCATCACCGGGAGCAGTGGCGGAGGGGTTAAGAAACCTTGCCAGATTTGTATCTCACCCGACTTGCAACAAGGCCTCTCCCTGTCCCACCTCCTGTGGATGGCTGGGTGGCCAAAGGGGATGGGGAAGGCGAGAGGACACGTCAGGCCCTGGTGTGCTGTGCCACGCTAGCGACAGAGACCCGCACGCTTGCATCAGCTTGCCTGGGGAGACAGCCAGGCTCAGATGGACTGTGAATTAAAAATAAACCCAACTATTTCTAGAAAAGGGTAATGCAAATTACTAGAAACACAGAAAGACTTCACTGGCAAAGGATTAAAAAAATGCTTGGTGCTGAGAAAAGCTAACCTGCAACAAATTTTACATACTGAATTGTTAGCTTGGGCATTTATCGCTTTGAAAATCACACTGCAGCTACAACAGGAAACAAACGAGGGGTGACATGACAGAAACATTTGAAGTGCTAAAGAAGGGAAGAAACTCTTTCCTTCAAAAGAGTACACTCATTTAAAAAAATTAGATATTAGATTTGAATAAAGAAAATTCTGGATATAGAGACAGCAGGACTATTTTCTTTATTGGGGTGAGAAACTGATTCATCTTAGCTGCATCTTAAACCCTACACTGATGGAGAAAGATAAAGCAGCTTTTATAAAAGGTGATGCAGTTACAGCTATTTACCTGTCAGTCCATGAAGAACGTCTGCTAAGTCTGTCTACAACTACTCCAGCACTTGTACAGACAGATGGAAAGCAGCTAAAAATGCTGTAACGTGCATCTGGTTATTTACCCGTCAGGGAGAGTCTGTCTTTCCAAGACACACAATACAAGACTCAAAGGCAACCACCTTCTCACGTGGTGATCCCACCTTCCTATGGGAGTCAAAACGCTGGAAGATGGTTATTCACTTAGTGCCCACAGACTCAAACGGGAGCAGAAAGGAGCTCTGTCAACCATTTCTCTGTTTTATAACTATCAATAGCACCATCTTACTGTGAGCATTGTAAATGACATCACAATAGCAATTTATTTTCATTTCTCTGCAAACGAATAAAAATTGGATCAACAGCCCATATAGATTCTTTTTAATTGAATCAGAGCTATCCTGGAAGATTATATGGCTATACGATAGAACATTTCAAAAGACACAAACCACAATGAATGCTGATGTGAGTGTCACCTTTAGCTAGACACTAATGACCGCTCTTTATCCAGTCTCAGACTCTCTAAGGAACAAATTACAGTAAAAAGAGAAATATAACTCAATGAGAACGTGACGCATCCTGCGCATTCTCATAGAAAGCCATCTTCAGAGCAAAATCAAGCAGGCAACAAGTTATTTGTAGCCATTTCTTTTTTACGAGGAATTCTCTCATTTCTTCAGTTATCTGTGTTTAATTACACAAATTCTCTCGGGAGTGGTATTTTTCACAATACATGCCATCGAGCCTGTGGTTACAGCAGTTATGTTCTGGTAGCCAACTGAGGCAGCTCCAAGAGAACCTGTTACTGGAAAATGGGTAAAAAGGAGGAAATCCCTTCTGAGAGA